TCCTGTGTGCAACGGCCGATCTGCAGCACTAACAAGAACACGTGAGGTCCAGGAGCCAACATGCTGACACATTTCACAAGCTCCTGTTTAACTTGTTCATTGGTCAGAGTTGTGTCGTACAGGCCGGGGGTGTCGACTATGACCACAGGCCGTCCATCAATCTCCCCTGTTGCTTTCTGGCAGATCACAGTCACTGACTTTGGGCTTGCTTGAGATGTGAAGCATGGTCTGTCCAGAATAGTGTTTGCAGTGGCGCTCTTTCCGCAACCGGTCTTCCCAATCAGCACCATCCTGAGACACTCTCTGCTCTGAAGTTTATAACCAGCCATCTTTGGTACAGATTGTTGGTGTGCAACCTTTTTCTCCAGTGGCTTGGCCATCATGTCCTTTGTGAAACATCTGGACTGATCAGCTCTCATCTGTTCCACAGTGTGTAACACATGGAAGACCTGCTGCTTGTCTCTAAGGTCGAAGACAAAATATCGTTCTCGGCAGCTCTGACGGAGCTCTCGGATGTGCACATTCTCCCTTAGACATTTTACAACAGCTTGAGACTTAGTATCAGACTTCACAGTGAACAGGATCAAGGTGAAGTCAGTCACTCGAGAGCTGAATGTGTTCTGGATGGCCTCTAATTCTTTCTTGTCTTCCTCACTTGGGGGACCCACCGGTAGAACCAAGATGAAGGCATGGACGCCCTCAGGATCACAGAGGGACATACACCTGAGTGATTCCTCCATCACTGCCTCCTGAGGTTTTCCATACATGGCAGGTAGCTCCACCAGGGAAACTTTACGTCCACACACTTCTCCCTGATTTTTAACACACTTTGAAGAGCTGGCAAGTGGACCAAACTTTCTTTCCCCCAGAATGGCATTAACGACTGAACTCTTCCAGGATCCAAATCTCCCACACAATACTAAGTTCAGAGGAGGTTTTGAGGCCACAGATACCGTCATAGGATCAGTCCCTTCAGTATAACTAAGATGGCATCCGTCATTGTCGATCACTATCTTCTCCATCTGTTCAATCAGTTCTTGATAATCACATTTGGGAAGATCTTTTCTTTCAAAGTCAATCCTGTGCTGCCTTTGTCTGCAGTCTTGGATGATTTGGTTCATTGAAGAATTCTCTACCTCACCAGTTTGTGTTTGGATGACCATTAAGTGTTTTAAGGCGTCTTCACCAAAGAAACTCAGGATGAACTTAAATTTTTGTCTGTCCTCTTCATTGAAATCAGGCGACTTCACTAACAGCAGGAGGACATTTGGTCCAGGGGAGCAAAGAGCGACACAGTTTTTCATCTGGTTTCTCACTCTGTCCTCGGGCAGACTGAAGACATCTGGGGTTTTCACTACTGTTAATGTTTTTCCTCTCCAATCTCCATACGTGACTCTACATTGCTTTGAGATTTTCTGATAAGGATCATCATCATCCCTTGTGATGAAGTCACATAGTGTTGATGTTTCATGTTGTCTCTTTCCAAACACCACAATCCTGAGGTCAGATGCTGTAAAACAACAAAATAATTTGTTTCAGTGATTTCTACACTACTGTAGTGAGACAATCCAAATTAATAGGATGGAATTTGAAAAATACTTATTGATTCTCTGAGTTGCAGTTGTAGGGGTTTTAAAGTGTCCCTTCATTAAGTTTGTTACTGCTGGCTAATTAGGAAATGTTCAGGTATAACAATGAAGGGTCTGTCTCCATTAATGTTTGCCCTTAACGTTGAATCAGTTGTAGAAGCTATGAAATTATATTGATGTCATGATGATATCCAGGGTATCAATTTGGGAACAAACTGTCAAACAAAGCAGTTATAAGCAGTTTATATTTATGCCTCTGCACCAGTGATAGTCGTATCCAGAGGCATTATGCTTTCGGGTTGTCTGTCTGTATGTCAAGAACACCTCGAGGGAATTTCTTCAAATTTGGCACACATGTCCACTTAAACGTGAAGATGAACTGGTTAGTTTTCGGCAGTCATAGGTCAAAGGTCAAGGTAGTTGTGATCTCATTTGTCTCATTCTCATGAATGTGATATCTCAAGAATGACTTGAGGGAATTTTTCCAAATGTGGCATAAACATTCACTTGGACTCAAGTGAACTGATTAGGTTTTGCTGGTCAAAAATTAAGGTCACCGTCATCCCATCCATTGCATTCTTGTGAATGTGCTATCTAAATAACACCTTGAGGGAATTCTTTTAAATTTGGCACAAACATCAAGTCAGTAATTCAAATTTGATGCTCAAAGGTCAAAGTCACTGACCTTCCGTTTGTTGCATTTCGTGAATGCAATATCTCAAGAATGCCATGAGGGTATTTCTCCAAATTTGACACAAACTTTCACTTGGACTCAAGGATGAACTGACTAGAATTTGGTGGTCAAAGGTCAAGGTCACTGTGACCCCATCTGTTGCATTCTTGTGAATGTGGTATCCCAAGAACACATTGTGGGAATTCCTTTAAATTTGGCATAAACATTCACATGGAGGATTAACTGATTAGAATTTGGTGGAAACTCAGGAAAACGTACGCTAATTTTGACAAAATTTCACATAAATGTATAATAGGATTGGATGATGAAGTGATGAAATCTAATATCCAAAAGGTCAAAGGTGAGCGTCACTGTGATGTCATAATTCTGCAATCAAACTTTGCTGGCCATTACTCAAAGTCGTATCTCAGGAACAGAAGGGGAAACATTTCGCCAGATGCTGAATTGGTGACACTGATCTTGGTTGCCCATGTTGGAGCTGTGCTGATTTTATAGATCTCCTGTACTACCAGGGGAATCCATGTTTTCACAGAAATGGATGTAAACCACGCAACTCGATTGGTGTGCGGGGGCATACAACCGTGAGGCAGTAATTCTAGTTTACTGTTTACCTAAAATTTGTACATCGCTGCCCTTTGTCCTTGAGGTTATATAATATTTGCTTTTTTGTCTGGACAGTAAGAGCGAGCTGAGCATATCATCATGCTTCTAACTCTTAAATTTCTTATTTGGGTACGTAGGAGTGGTTGTCTTTTTTTTTTAAATGAAAAAAAAAGACAACAATTAAACAAAATGTTACATTAATCAGTCTTTTGCTTTTAGAGGTGCAGGACATCATCAAAATCAAAACAGCCTGACAGATACACAGCCACTGATCACTGGTTACAATGTTATCAGTAACATTTTAAACAACGGTTCAAAGTTTCTGGCCACATGGCACCAATGCAAGGCTTTAGTGATAACATATTCCTTCTGGCTACTTACCAAATGACGATGCTGCTGCCATTATGTCACTTCGGCGCAAACTTCTGGGAGAAAAATTCAAATGGAGAAGCTGATGGCTGTCTGTTGGGTTCTATGAAACAAGACAAAATTGGAACAATGAAATATAGAGATAAAGCAACCCAACACAAAAAGTACTTTTTTTTTTTTAGAAAACGTAGTCTGAGAAAATTTATATTAAGCAGATATACATGGTCATTGAAGGTAAGTCATACTCTACCAACAACAACCCTGATTTAAAAAGATGTTAGGACATATGTTATGATTTTCAAATCCAAATCCTGTCAGATATCAACAACATCCAGAAACAGCGCTGACCTCTCTGAGAGCTTTTCTGTGGAAAAGTGTGTCTTAGTCTGACAAGTCCATCAACTTTCACATTTATGAAGGCACCATGAACACTGAAAGGTACACACAGGTTTTGAGCAACATATGCTGCCATCCAGAAGATGTCTTTTAAGGAAAGTCCCTGCTTACTCCAGCAAGACAATGCCAAGTAACTACAGTGCGGCTTCGCAGTAAAAAAGAAATGTGGTTACTAGAATGGCCTGCCTGTAATCCAGACCTGTCTCCTATTGAAAATGTGTGGCGCAATATGAGGCACAAAATGTGACAAGTGAGACCCTGGACTGTTGAGAAATTTAAGTCGTATATCAAGCAAGGATGGGAAAAAAATTCACTTTCAAGACTTCAGAAATTAGTGACCTCAGCTACCAAAGCACTTACTGAGGTTTGCTAAAAGAAAAAGGTGTCCAGACTTTTTTGGAGGGTCAAATTAAAAATGAGTATTTATTTAGAAAAAAAAAAAAAGTTTATCCATTTGAACTTTAAATATTTAGTCTTTGTACTATTTTAATTAAATGAAGGTCAAAAAGGATCTACAGATCGTTGCACTCTGCTTTTATTAACACTTTACACAACTTTATTGAAATCAGAGTTGTTAAAGTGTGAATGCCTTTGATGGCTTAAAGTCTAACCCAAGTGCAGCTGAACTGAACATATTTGTGTTTAATTTTCAGCAATCAGGCAAACATTTCA